ATTCCAATAATATATTAGTGCATCATAAATATTTTTTTTGACTTCTTCTAAAATACCTGCAAAGTTATAAAATTAGTAATTTTTATACTATTTTTATAGATTTTAGTAATTTATTTTTATATAATATTTAGTTAAAGATTATATAATATTGCTAAGAAAAATCTGTTATTAGCTTTTAAGTTTAAAACTTCTAATAATAAGTTTTTTTTTATAGCACTTTATTATTTAACTATCATAATGAAGCCATAATATAAATATTTAAATAATAAAATAAGAACTAGCCAAACTTTATAATATTAACTTTTAATCAAAAATTACATGAAATTTATTTTACTAAAACTTATAAAATTCATTAATAAGAATATAATTTTTTAAAACAACTCCAAATACCTATTGTATTTAACAGATTTTTAATAGAAATTCTTCTTTTAATAATATTGCTTATGATTTCATCATTATTAAAATCAATATATTGTATTTTTGTAGTATCTAATTCAAAAATAATATCTTTATCAGAAAACAACTTATTTTTGAAAATGCTTCGCTTACTAGATCAAAAATTATTTCTTTAATTTTTAAGATTATTTAACTTAATATAACATATGTATTTCCAGAAAATTCTTATATTATCTTCTCAAATGATATTAATAAGTTAATAAGTTGGTCTATTAACTCTCACTCATTATCAGAAAGAAGAATTCCTTTTAATTTAATATCATCTTTTTTGATTTCTCAATTAATTGATATATATAAATTAGTTTAAAGTTGAGTAATTGCATTTTTCAAAAAATAAAGACTATTCTAAGTATAATAAGTTGAGTTTTAACTAAAGATTAGCATTCATGTAGTATTATATATATAAATCAATGATTTATACAGTTTCATATAGTTTCATATGTATTTTATATAAGTTTTTGCACATAAATTCATATGAATCATTGATTTATACACATAATATCATATAAATATCTATCTCTAGTTCTAACATGTAGAAACATCTTGAATACAACCTAAAATATCAGTATAACTAAGTCTTTTTTAAACTTCTTTTAGTTATTCTAGTTGTTTCTGACTTTAAAAAAAATGAATTATTCACTTAATACTTACTGCTAAGATTTCTGCTAGAGCTAACTCTTTTCTAATTACTAATTAGATAGTATAAGCTATATATAGAAGACATTTAATCTTTTCATATCTATCACTTTGATTTAACAAAGAGAAAGCTGATATCATGTTAAGGCTATTATCAGTAGTAATTAATGTTATATGATTTTTAAAATTCTAAGATTCAATAAATTTACTAAGTTCATTTTCAATAACTTTACTAGTATGCAGAGATAGAATATATTTATTTTCTAAAATTCTATTATTTCTTTCAAAATTTGATATAATCTAAATTATAGTAATTTCTAAATACTCATGTTTCACTTTACTGAACCAAAAATCTATTGTAAGAGAAATATTGTCTGCAAGTTTTATAATGTTTTGTAAATTTTCAGAATTGTACTTAAAACTTTTAACAATCATTGTTCTAATTTTTTTTTTCACTAGAAACAACAAATAAGGAATCAAATTTAGCTATTTTTTCTTTATATATATTATTAGTAACTGTGGAGAGAGGCTAATTTGTAAATATCATCTATTTAAAAACTGCTTCTTCTTGTTATTTTTGAATATATTTAGGATAAGGATAAATTTTTTAAACAAAATCAGTAATTTTAGAATTGCATATCTAGAATTAGTATTGGTATTGATAAAATATATATTTATAAAATATATATATTTAATTTTATATAATTGTTATTTACCCTTTTTAAATTTGTTAAATCATTCATTGAAACAATTCTATGTTCATCTCTGAGATGCACAATTAGATTACCTGTTGAACTCTCTATATTCATATACTCTTGTTTACATTTTTGTCTACTTTTATCTATAACCTTATAAACTTGTATTTCTTTACCTATGTTATTAGTAATTTTGTCAAAGTATTCTCAAGTAAATGATAGTTTTTTATATTTATATAATCTTTTAATTTTGGAGCTATTCAAACCAACTCTACTCCTAACTACTGCTTACTCTTCAAAAACCAACAAATTCTACCTCGCAAATCTGAGGAAACTATAAGATACTTAGGTATCTTTTTGAATGGAAATGGTTTATTCAAACTCACAATTAAATTTTTTTTTTTTTTTTAAACTTAGGCGATCTTGCCTATCATTTTATTAAGAATAAGCTAATTTAAGCTACAAGTAAA